GCGTCCCACGTGGTCTCACAGTGCCACGAAGCCTTTGCGCGTTTCACAAGGTCTCAGAACTGCACGAAACGCTCGGCGCCGAGCACACACGTGCGTCTCACATTGTCTCACAATGCCACGAAACCATTGGCGCCAATCGCGCCCGCGCGTCTCACAAGGACTCGAAAACCTGCGTAAAGTCTTGGTGCACGGTCCCACGCCGTCACGGACTCCGAACCCCCCTTCGGGTAGCAGGGCTCACCCATGATTGGCCACATGGGGGTTGTCCCCAACCCAGGATGGATGCTAACCCAGGTTAAGGGAGGTAGCGCGCCATGAACGGGGCTGGGGAAGGTCAGGTGCCTGGCCGTAGAATTGCCTGTCCAAGCATGTAATTGCTCATGAAAACACCCCTGAACTTATGGCCAGCGCGGCGGCAAGAGCACCACTCCGACGCCAACGCGCAAGGCACGCAATAATGTAAGCACGCAATCATGCGTAATGCAGGAATTGTGACGCCGAGTGAGCAGAGTACCACCCATTGGAACCCTGATGACGACGCCGCAGAGATCGCGGCCGCGACGCGAACACCCATCGACATGGCGCTGGGGCGCCGCAGGCAGACAACACCACTCGCACCCTGATGAAGACGCCGTGAAAAACGCGGCCCCGAAGCGATCGTGGAATCAGGTTCCCAAAAATCTTCTGGACTGTATACTGTATTTCGTAGCTTGCACCACAAAGTTGCACAACATGTGCTGCATCCCCCAACTTGCACATTGTAACCTACACCACGTAGACCAAATTCATTGCACCGAGTAAGCTGAATCGGAGAGGTTGCCGCATGTCTCGCAGTGTCTCCTACGCCGCGAAGCACGGCCAAACAGGTCAGCGTGGCCCAGCAGCAATTTCATAAAGCGAAATCCAATGCCAGCCCCTCGCTTCAAACCTAGGCGGAGTTCACAAAGGTGGTGGGGCAACTGGGGCGGCCTTCTAAGGTATGAGGTCTTCCTATTCGGGCTCGGAGAACTTCAAAAACAATTTCTTAAAAAGACAATGGCTTTCTCGCGTCACCCCCCTCCTGCGCGCCGGCGACCTTCGACATCCGGCAGGAACCGAAACCAAAACTTCGGCGAAGCGAATTTGCGACGAAGAGGCGGGGCATTCCAGTGTCGAGATTATGCTCCTGGCCGTCGCTCACTCGACGTTCGCCCTCTGTCCCCCATGCCGTCGGCCATGAAAACCCCAGCCAAGAACCATGTGGGTAGCAAAACTGGAACCCTTCACACGACTGGAGTCACGCGAAAGCACTAGCCTTACCTATACGACCACACTTCGGGTGATAAGGAGGTTCGTGAGGGGAACCAATGTCTCACTCGATCGGTCTCACTATCGATCTCACTATCGATCTCACGATCGGTCTCGCTCGATCAATCTCACTCGATCGATACCACAATCGATCTCATTCGATCTATCTCATTCGATCGATATCACAATCGATCTGACTATCGATTTCGCAATCGATCGCACGCTCGATCTCACTATCGATCTCACAATATATCTCACATTCGGTATCACTATCGATCTCACTGTCGATATCACAGTCGATCTCACAATCAACGTCATCATCATGATCATCATCATCGTCATCAACGTCATCAACATCATCATCAGCATCATCAGCATCATCGGGACACTTCCATCATCATCTCCTCATCACCATCATCAAAATCATCATCATCACCATCACCATCACCATCGGGACACCATGATCGTCACCATCATCATCAACAACATCATCATCATCGGGACACCATCATCATCATTGGAACACCACCATCACAATCATAATCATCATCATCATAAACACCATTATCAATACCATCATCATCGGGACACCATCATCATCAATCTTATCATCATCATCATCGGGACACCATCATCATCGTCACCATGATCATCGTCACCATTCTCATCATCATAGGGACACTATCATCATTATCAGCATCAGGATCATCATCATCGGGCCACCAACATCAAATCATCATCACCACCTCATCATCATCCTCATCATCAAAATTATCATCATCTTCGGGACACCATCATCGTCATCATCAAGTTCAACATCATCAGCATCATCGGGACACCACCATCATCGTCAACATCATCATCAACAACATCATCATCAACCTCATCATCATCATCATCATCATCGGGACACCATCAGCCTCATCAGTGTCATCATCATAATCATCATCATTCCATCATCATCAACTTCATCAGGATCATCAACATAATCACCATCGGGACCCCATCATCTCATCAGCAACATCAACATCATCAACATCATCATCATCGGGACACCACCATCATCACCACCATGGCCATCATCATCATCACCATCATCATCACCGGGACACCATCATCGTCACCATCATCATTATTAACCTCATCATCATCGGGACACCATCGTCATCATCATCATCGGGACACCATCATCACCATTATCAGCAAAATCATCAACATCATCATCGGGGCACCAACATCATAGTCACCATCATCATCATCACCGTCATCATCATCGGGGAACGATCATCATCAGCAGCATCAGCATCATCATCATCATCATCGGGACACCATCATCAAAATCATCATCATCATCTCATCATCCTCAACATCATCATCATCATCATCATCGTCATCATCATCATCATCGGGACAGCATCATCGTCATCATCATCAGCATCATCACCATCGGGACACCATCATCATCACCATCATCATCATCAACAGCATCATCATCAACCTCATCCTCATCATCATCACCATCGGGACACCATCATCATCCTCTTCATCATCATCATCATCATCTCATCATCATCATCAGGATCATCAACATCAACATCAACATCATCATCATCATCATCATCATCATCATCATCATCATCGGGACACCATCATCATCATCATCAGCAACATCAGCATCATCAACATCATCATCATCGGGACACCATCATTATCACCACCATGGCCATCATCAACATCATCACCAGCATCGTCATCATCATCATCATCATCATCGTCATCGTCATCGTCATCGTCATCATCATCATCATCATCATCATCGTCATCATCATCATCATCATCATCATCATCATCGGGACACCGACGGGACATCGACGGGACACCGGCGGGACACCGCGCGCCACCAGCCCCCGGACAGGAAACATTTGGTCCGGCCGCGCCGCAGCCAGAGGCGGGACACTTCTCGCCCGCCCACGCAGCTTCGCCTCGCCCGCACGGCACGGCACGCACGAACGCGAAACCGAAACCGATTTCCCGGTAGGGGGGCTGTCCGTTCCACTTCGATCTCACCCCCTCACCTCCGACACGTGTCAAACCCAAATGCTTCCTGATAGCGCGAATCGGCTGCTCTCAGCGCGGCTTCCCAAGTACCTGCTCTGGGCACGGACCTCCGAAAACGCGCCTTCGCCTTCTCCAGCTCCCTCTGCACGGGATCCTGGCCGCCTCTCCTGGCCCTGGGAGCCCCCGGTTGCCATGGAGCCGCCCCTCTAGAGGAGGGCCTTCCCGCGATCGGGCGGCTCGGCCAGCAATCGCGGGCCCCAGCTGGGGAGGGAACGGAGCAGGCGGCGGAAGGACCAGCTGACGGCGGGCGCCCACCTCCGGACATACGACTGGCCATCGCTCGGACGTCCATTCTCTGTGTTTTTTTCGGTTTCGTGTGTGGTTTTTTCGCCAAATGATTAAGGATGCTCCTCGATGGTCCTCGCCGAAGGAAAAATATACACGTCCGAGCGATGCCAAGACGAAGGGGGCGTTCGCCGTTCACGCGCGCTCCGCTGCGTGCGAGCCGCGCACGTGCGCGGTGCAAGAACAATAGCGCGCGAGCCTCGGGCAGACCATGGTGGGCAGGCGACGAGGAAAAACTACCTTTTGGGCGACGATGGGAAACCACGGTGGAATTGTCACGGGTACGAAGGTTGGCTGTTGAGCAGGCAATAGTGAGGTCGACGGCGGGCAAGAGCTGGCGGTCGACAGAGATCATGTTGTGTGTAAGCGTAGGGCACGGTCGGGTAATCCACTGCACATGCCGAATTCGGTATAAGCGAGATGTGCCGAGAGGGCCCAAAAGTCGGGATCAATGGGCGGCAGGCCCCAAGATGGCCCGAAGACAATCCTAAGAGGCCTCTAAATAGCCCCAAGACGGTCCGATACAGCCCTTAGGACTCCAGAATCTAGGTGTCCTAGATTTCCCTAAGAGGTGTTTGACGGATTTGGGCGCTACCGCCTTTTCGGGCTTCCGACTGGCCAAGACGGCCCACGACGCCCCCCAGATCGCCCCAGGAAAGCCTAAGACACTCCCAGGCCGGCCACGGCTACATCACGGCTTAAGAGGGGCCGAAGAGGCCCCCCAAGAGGACTCCAAAGGCCCCCAAGAGAGCCCCAGGGGGAGTCCGAGCTGACATGTCGAACCCTTCTCCGAAAGATAGCTCCCGAGACCGCCAGCAGGCTCCCAAGAGGCCCCCAGGGGCCCCCGACACTCCCCCCAAGAGACCTCCAAGAGGCACCATGAGGTCCATGCAGCCAAGAGGCCCCCGAGAGGCCACCCAAAAGAGCGTAGGAGACCGCCCAAAGAGGCTTGGCTCCAAGGGTGCCCCAAGAAGCCATCGAGAGACCTGCTCCTCCTCCTCCTCCTCCTCCTCCTCCTCCTCCCCCTGCTCCTGCTCCTCCTCCTCCTCCTCATCCTCCTCCTTTTCGCTCGCCACGAACACACCAACATATAGCAACAGTGATATGTTATGGGCTGGCGGAATGAGTGGAGCGATTGAGTAATCAACGCGTGAATCAATTTCGCTTGACCACGTCAGAGCAGACGTGCGATCTGCATGCACGAGGTTGCCAGCACACATAAATCACAGGAGACGCAATATGCAATGTGTGAGATACGACGGGCCCCACCTCGTGAGTCGACACGTCAACTGCAGGCTGACATTTGCAATGGTTCACTGTGAGCAAGCCGTGGCAGACCTGCATACGTGCCAATATGAGAGGATGTGTGCAAGTGCGGCTAGGACAAAACATAGCTGACGAGCGGGCAAGCAAGTTGTGCGCAAGTCACAAACAAAGAGATCACACATGCGCGGTGAAAAGGACACACGTCTTACGTGAACAACTTACACACGTTACAGCGGGTGGTCCGAGGAAATTGGGGGCAATCTGAAAGATAGGTGGCAAGCCTTCGGAGTCGTGGGTGTGTTATGACGCGCCGGATGTTTCCCACGCGCAGGCGCAACCCGGCTGAACTGCTCGCCCTGGTGATTGAATAACTGACTACGGCCAGGCCGCGCACGAAGACTTCCTGAAGACATTCTCGAGGCCGTGCGCCACGTCCGAGAAGTCCCGGGAGCCGGCAAAGTAGCGCCAAGCACAAGCACTGGGCAGCAGGCGGCACCCATGCCGGAAACGACAACAATCCTCTGAGCGGCCCGACCCAGGCAAGATCAAAATCAGAAGCGGGGACTCTGTTTCGTCAGCGGCGGCTTGGGTCCAAGACGCGGCCGGGACAGCCGAAGGACACATCGGAGCCAAATTGGGCACCGCAGGGGAAGGACCAGGCGCGGAAGCAAGCAGGAGCAGAGGCACTGCAATCTCTGCGGCGCTGGCTGCACGCCACGGCAGCGGGCTGCGGGGCGCGGCGCCAGCCTTGTGGAGCGCCAGCGCGCCTCTCCTCCACCGCGTAGCGGCTTTCCATGCTGGCGAGGCGGAGCGCGTGCTGGGAATACTGGGACCTCTGCGGGCGGTCGTTCGTCCCGCCCCCCCGCTGGCGGGCCTCGGGCCGGGAGGAGCCGGACGCGGCCACTATACTCTCCAGGAGCCCGCCCGCTGCGGCGCAGCGGTCTGGACCCCCACGCAGGAACGACCCTCGGCGGAGCGCTGACTCGCCGACGTCAGGAAGCTTTCAATCCGTTGGCCCTGGAGCTGTCGACCGCCTCCCTGTGGCCGGGTACTGCTCGTCCCGGATATGAGCCCTGGGGCTGTCGACCGACTCCCCGGGGCCGGTTTTCTCGTCCCGGATGTTTTCGTTGACGGGTACGGGGCGCCGCTTCCATCGGATGCCGGAAGGATGTTTTTGTTGAGGCTTCTGGGGCGCCGCTTCCATCGGATGCCGAAAGTGCCCCCTAACAACAAGAACGACAGCATTGAACAATTCGCGGCTTCGCAGGTCTAGGCCCGCCTCCTTCCAGGTCACCCCCAAAACCTCATCTGGGGCGCAGAATGCCTACAGCTGGGCTGCTGACATAAGGAACCATAAACAAGGAACGAAACCCAATTTTTTGCACCCGAAGAGCCTGTGTGCACGAGGAGGGCTCGAGGAACAGTCACAGAACGACCCAAGGAACAGGGAGCCCCTTCCGAACGCAAAAGGGTCCTTATTTCAGCGTCTTGACTGCAAGTCGAATTACGAAGGGGGTCCAGCGGCGGCGACGAGACGCATCCCAGAGGTCCAAATGGGGAAAAAGGGCGAGGACATCCAGAAACCTTTTTACTGGAGCCTCGATCCGTTGGAGGAACGAAGAATATCCAACGGGCCCAGACTTCGGACGATGTGCGCGTTTGTGATCCGCGGCCCCAATGGGTCTCGCCCCCTTCCCCAGAAGGGGCAGCTCTGCTCACTTACGATCCGACTTCTGATGGCGAGGGGAGCTCCTACACATTGAAGTGACAACCCGCGAGAACGGACGAGCGATCTCTTTGATGATAACACTTGAGTCTCTAACGAGCCGACAGACAGCTTGGCAATCATGGACATACCCACCCACCCCAGACAGACCAACAACGAACGTCTGAAACTGTGCAAACCAATTGTCTTAAACGACGGACAAACAAACACATGTCTCAAACTATACACCGTACTCTGACATGGTGGACAAACAACCGCGGACCCTGGATACACTTGCCATTTTGAACTGCATGTCTCCCCCTCTTAAAACTTGGATAGCCCATCTTCCAGGATAATGAGACGAACATCACATTTCTGCGTAGTTATTGGCCACTGGTATAGAAAAACGGCGACACCGATCGACCCCCATAAACCAACTCGGACCAAGAAATACGATTGGGGTTCTAACATAATCCGTTTGGATAATAATTGGGTCCGATGGTGGCCCACATGGGATGTCGTTGGAATCAGATTGGGACGAGATTGGAGCATAGTGGACTCCTCAAGCAAGATGGAAGTAGCATCTGACTAGCATCCCAGTGGAATCCCGTCAGGGTCCTACTAAAGTCCTATTGGGGTCCTCTTGTACCGACGGATGACACATGACGGAACGAACGCGCCCAGAGTTTTGGACTTCGAGGAACCACGAAAGGCACCCCCCCAAGTCAAGTGGCGGCCGCGACGAATGACGGCTTGAACCTGGATGACGTACCCACAACCGCCGTTCGGCGGACGAACGACGGGCGAACCTTACGCACTTGGCTTACCAGCTTGCAGCTGGTTAAGCCCAACGTGGATACGGAAATGATGGAAGGACTGGTCACGATGCCCAACAGCAGGCGCTGTCCCAAACCGATAGCAGCTGCTGGTTAGCAGGCGCCTTTCGCTCCAGCGTGCGCTGCGACGCCACCAGCGAATCCTGCTCAAATGACCGTTGGACCGACGTTGGATTTCGCACCCACTGCTTCCGTACATCCGATTACGCGCATGACAGTGCGTGCCAAGGCCGCATGAACCTGCTTTGCGAGTGAATCGGAAGAATCCCCAGCAAGTCTGTGGTCCTTCCCTCTCGCCTCGACACTTTTTTTGATCTGCAGGGCGAGAGCGAACCTCTTCCGCTGAAAGCTAGGCGGGACGCGCACAGCTTTCGTCAGCAGAGAAAGGGCGGAAGAAGGCGGGGCCTCACGCGGCCAGGAGCGGGCGACGCCCGGGGACCGAAACTCTCGCCTCGACACCCGCTTCCCTCAGGCACCGCTTCCTAAAACAGGGCTAGGATCGGGATAAATCGCTCCAGAGCGTTCCGGAGCGCTCTCAGAGCGTTCCGGAACGCTCTGGAGCGGCCGCAGCGCCCAATACATCCTCCAAACCCGCCGACTCTCTCAGAGATTTCGAGTTATCCCGATCCGATTTTGTCCCGATCTTCGCGTCGTTTTACTTCCCCCCTGGGCCGAAGGGACCCCCGGAGCGATCCCGGCCGCCGGCCGGGGCCGCCGGGGCCCCGCGCCCCGTGGACAGCAGCTCGGCCAGGCTCTTCGCGGGCGGCCCTGCGCGATCCGCTGCGGGGGAGTGCCCCTCCCCCTGAGATCCTGGCGCTGCAGTGGGCATGCCATACATGTCTCGCTCGAGCTGACTAACTTGACTTCTACTCCTCCTCCTCCTCCTCCTCCTCCTCCTCCTCCTCCTCCTCCTGCTCCTGCTCCTCCTCCTCCTCCTCCCCCTGCTCCTCCTCCTCCTCCTCCTCCTCCTCCTCCTCCTCCTCCTCCTCCTCCTCCTCGTCCTCGTCCTCGTCCTCCTCCTCCTCCTCCTCCCTCCTCCTCCTCCTCCTCCTCCCTCTCCTCCTCTCCTCCTCCTCCTCTCCTCCTCCTCCTCCTCCTCCTCCTCCTCCTCCCCTCCTCCTCCTCCTCCTCCTCCTCCTCCTCTCCTCCTCCTCCCTCCTCCTCCTCCTCCTCCTCCTCCTCCTCCTCCTCCTCCTCCTCCTCTCCCTCTTTCGGCCCTGACTCCGCGCGCAGTGCCTGGTAGTGCCGTGAGGCCCTACCCCTTCCAAGCGGACGACGCCGCCTGGGAGGGCACAGATACGGTGCAAATTAGCAGCTGAGTGAATAGTGGCGGCAAGGAGACGCAAGTGGACAAGAGAGGCGACAGGACGGCGGCAGCGGACGACAACGCGGCGACGACGGAGGCCACAAACACAGAAGGAGGTGGGAGCTGCTGGCGGCGCGCGCGGCCGGAGGTTTGGCCCGAGCGTGACTGCAGGAGGACATCGGAGAATCCACAATGGGTCCAACGAAGAGTCCGAGGGGAGCCCCACGGGAGTACCATGGTGACATGGAACTGCTCCCAAAATGGCCCCTTCAAGAGGGCCCAGAGGGCGATCGGAGGAGCCCACACTTGCGCAGCAGAGCCCCAAGGCCGCCCATGACGGCCCCAAGCAGGCCCACGACGGCCCTACGACAGCCAACACATCCAGCGAGAGAGCCCAAGAAAGCCCGAAACGATGCAAAGAGGCCCCGGAGGGCCAAAAGGGCCTCCCCCTCTTCAGCGGACCCCCAGAATGACCAAAGCGAGCCAAAACCCTGAAGGCATCTAGGGGAGCCCCCCCCCCCAGCGGACCCCTAGAATGACCAAAGCGAGCCCAAATCCGGAGGGTATCAGGTCCGCGCGGATTTCCCCGATCCGCGCTGGGCCCCCCCTCCCTGGCGCGCGGAGCGCGCTGGGGCGGCCCGGCGCCGATCCGAGAGATCCGCGGGGACCGCCGAACGTTTATGTGTATGGTGTTGCTCATTATTTATTTATTTATTTATTTATGTATTCATTCATTTGTTTATGTATTTATTTATTTATTTACTTATTCATTTATGTATTTATTCATTTATCTATTTATTTATTTACTTATTTATTATTATTATTATTATTATTATTATTATTATTATTATTATTATTATTATTATTATTTTTCCGCTTCTTCTTCTTCTTCTTCCCCTCCTCATCCTCCTCCTCCTCGTCCTCCTCCTCCTCCTCCTCGTCCCCCTCCTCCTCCTCCTCCTCCTCATCATCATCGTCTTCCTCCCCCTCCTCCTCGTCTTCTTCGATGTCTGTGGGATTCAAACCGTATCAGGTGAACAGGGCCTCGAGATGGCCCCGGAGAACCCTCCACTGGAGGCGGCTAGAGGCTCCACTGGTGGGGCATGGGGGGACATACAGCCCACGAGGGCCAAAGCGGCTCCAAACAGCTTCTGCAGGACCATTCTTAGCACTCAGACGTGATATACGAGGATATACGAAGACGAGGATAAAGAGGATGAGGAGAAGGAGGTTAAGGAGTCAGAGGAAGGGAGGCCGCATGAGACTGCGCGAAATTCGGAGCAGGAGGAGGAAGAGGGAACGGTGTCGGAGATCAATGTATGCTTGCAGTGATACTCCGTGCCTGGACGGGGGTTCAGCACTTCTTCGTCCCAGGTGAGGGTAAGGCACAATAGGTTGTGGCGAAGCGGTAGCGAACCAACGATATCTTGCGTGTATGCAGTGTATGCAAACATATATGTCGTACTTGGCGTGAACAGGATGGCAATTGTAAGTTCTGGGGAGGGAGGGGCTGAAGATTCGCAAAGAGCGCCAGGGACGATCATACCTGCTGCAGTTATGATCGTCCCTGGCGTTTTTGTGGGAACGTGTATGCAGGAAACCAGCACACCAAGTCCCAGAATAACAAAACAATAATCTGCATGGCTATCGGAAAAGCCATCGGAACAGCGATTTATGCTGCAGTCGCGCTTGCCAGCGGCACGATCAGATTGGCGACCTCGCTTGACCCACTTCCAGGCGCGGCCGATCGGAAGCAGTGCGCGCGACCCCTGGGGGGGGGGGCAAGCGGCAAGACGCGCACTGCAGTCAACACGCTCTCTCCGCACGCCGAGCCTGCATTCCTGAGGAGGAGGAGGAGGAGGAGGAGGAGGAGGAGGAGGAGGAGGAGGGAGGAGGAGGAGGGAGGAGCAGGCAGGAGGAGGAGGAGGAGGAGGAGGAGAAGGAGGAGGAGCAGGAGCAGGAGGAGGAGGAGGACTGCCCCCCGCAACTGCCCCCCACGAGAGGCCCCTTCCGCTTGGCCTTGGCCGCAGCTGGTGCGCTCCGCCCCGTTGTCGGGGAACTCCAGCACGGCCTCCCGGGCAAGAGCTGGAGCGAGGCGCTGCCATGCCGAGGACCGCAGGGCACGCAGACAGGTACGCCCGAGTGGTCCACCGACCCCGAGAAACGACTCAAGGGCCACACGACTCACACCAGATCAAGCGTCTGTCAGATAACGCATCCTGCCGGTGCGACATCCGAAGCATCACTTCACGCCTGGGTCTCTGCGACGCCGCCGAGGCCGCCCAGCTTGCGGCCCCCTCGGGCCCGGTGCCGCCCTGGCTGCGGCTCTCTCACAAACTCCGCGCAGCAGGCTCACGTCGCGATGACGCTGGCGTTGGTCCCTGACCTTAAGTCGGGCCTGTCCCCCTACAGGGGGATTTTCGACGAAAAATAAAAAATACCCCAAAAATAATCAAAAACATTCCAAAAATAATATGGGGACTATTTTTGTTGTAGCTTTTAACCTTTTTGGGGTGTGTGTTCAGGGTATTCTATATTTTTCTTCGAAAATCCCGCTGTAGGGGGACACGCCCGACTTAACCCTGACCCCGTGTGGATCCTTCCGCCTGGAACGGTTGCGGCTCTCCGACGGGGCAGAGCGCTCGACGGCCGCTGCTTCGCCGATCCGCCGGCTCCAGGCCACGGTTCGGCCTCGAGCGCCCGGGCGGGGGTCGCCGCTGCGTCAGCGCGGCACAGGCCTGGCGCGCCGCCCTCGCATGAGATACAGTAGCTGCCGATCTCAAGCCCGTGACGTTCGACGCGCATGCTCTGCGAGCTCGCCGTGTACGGTGAGGGACTCTTGCGTCTTGTGTCGCGGCGGCGGCCCCGGCGGCACGCTACGCCCTGAAAACGGATAGCGTGTCGCTCCGCCTGAAGACTGGGACGTGCATGGTGCATGGCGTGTCGCGCTGGAGCGCGGTAGGCCAGAACCGGCAGCGCGACACGCTGAGCCGAAATTCCCGACCGTGAGCTTCTGGCGGGTGCTCTGCGGGCCGATCAGCCGCGCAGGGCGCTGCCTCGGCGAACCCCGCCCTAACTTTCGCCCGCCGCCCGCGGGCGTCGCGCGGCTCGCCTCCGACGCACCGCGGCGGCGGGCATCCCCCGAGCCTGGCTCGTCGCGCCCCGTGCCGTGCCGAGGGGCATGCGGGGTGGACCAGGCGGGCCAGGGCCACGCCAGGAGCAGCCCAAGGGGCTTTCGATGTGGCTGCGCCGGGGCTGCATTCCAGGTGGCCAGGCCGGGGTGCGCCCGATGGCGCTGGTCCCGAAGGCCTTCGCTGACGCAGGACCCCCAAAGGGGCTCGGCGTGGCGAAGGCCTCCGGGATCTGGTGCCGGAAGAAGCTCGAGCGACCACAGAATAACACGACGGGTGAACAAAAACAGCACGCTCTCAAAACTACAGGGCGGAGGAAGTGGGAAGGCGCCAGAGAGGGGTGCGGGGTGTCGGACCCCGAGGGGGGCTCCCGTTCGAGCGGGAGCCCCCATCCGACAACACACACCCGTAGCCCCCACGGAATTCCACCCCGAGAAAGTCCAGGGGTCGCATGGGTCTGGGTGCTGATTGTCAGCTCGTAACCGACACCCTCAAAATCCGGCTGGCCTTGAGACCACGATATGCGACTGGTGTCCGAGGGCCTAGGACAAGAATGGCCCGCTCGGGAAGCCCTGCGCCAGGCAAAAGCGTCGGCACCTCCTGGCCTCCGCCGATCCCAGGGGACTCAGGAGACCAACGTCTCGGTCCATCGAAGGCGAGGCGCTTTGTGGAGCCCACCATTTGACCCTGTGCGCCCACACGTCCCAGCACGGGGGAAGTGATGCCCTGCGAGTACGTAGCCCTTTTCAACAAACGAAGTTCGGAGAGATGGTTTAGGGCCCCCTCTTGCCCAAATGCGAAAAAGCCGCGATCCTGGATCTTGGAATACGGGTGGACATGGCTTGCGATAAAGAGGCAAGGGAGAAGGAGTGAGATGCAAGCAGGGCGCCCCATGCTGGTTCCCGTAATGACCCTGCTTCTCTTTTGGGGGGCCCTGTCGGGGCCATCGCGGTAGGTTCAGCACGAGACGAGCCAAGACATCCGCATCGCGCAAAAGCGCGCTCCGTGACGAAGTGGGCGGGATGCGCCGCAACGCTTAGTCGAACGCCGCAAACGCCCGTCACGCAGGGGCCCCAGGGCTGGTGGCCACCGGGGGTGCCAACGCTTCTGTGGGCACGAGCCCGTGGCCCGCCCTGCCCAGCCCGCTGGATTCGGGACGCAGGGCGCCGGTGGAGCCGAGGTTCACGCAAGACACACTGGAAGCACAGTTCGCAACCATCCTGTGGTGTTGGGTCCTCGGTTTGAAGAAACAGCGCCCCGCGTTCCTCACCTCCTCCTCCCCCCTGCTCCCAACCCGCTGCCCCATTTCAGCACACCCCTCACACGTTTCGTGGCCAATGGGGCCCCACCGAAGGCGCTAGCGGCAGGGTCCGCATGGCGGCCCCGCACCAGATTCGTGGCCCCATACAAAGCTCCTCTGGAGGCCCCAGCGGCAGGGCCCGCATGGCGGCCCTGCATCCGATTCGGCACACCCCTCACACGTTTCGCGGCCCATAGGGAGCTCCACCGAAGGCCCCAGCGGCAGGGTCCGTATGCCGGCCCTGCACACATGTCAGCACAACCCTCTACGCTTCGTGGCCTGATATGGTGTGCCGACATGGGTGCGGGGCCGCCATGCGGACCCTGCCGCTTGGACCTTCAGTGAAGCTCTCTTGGGGCCACAAAGCGTGTGAGGGGTGTGCCACCGGCATGAGCGCGGGGCCGCAATGCGGACCCTGCCGCTCGGGCCTCTGGTGCAGCTCCCGATTGGGGCCACAAAGCGTGAGGGGTGTGCCGAAATCGGCGCGGGGCCGCCATGCGGACCCTGCCGCTGGGGCCTTCGGTGGAGCACCCCTCACACGCTTCGTGGCCCCAATCGGGAGCTCCACCGAAGGCCCGAGCGGCAGGGTCCCCATTGCGGCCCCGCACCCGATTTCGGCACAGCGCTCACATGCTTCGTGGCCGCACATGGGGATCCAACGAAGGCCCCAGCGGCAAGGTCGACCCTTCGTGGCCCCATAGGGAGCTCCACCGAAGGCTCCAGCGGCAGGGTCCGCATGCCGGCTTTGCACCAATTTCGGCACATCCCACACGCGATTCGTGGCCCCAGGAAAGCTTCACCGAAGGCCCGAGCGGTAGGGTCTGCATAACGGCCCCGCACCCATGTCAGCAAACCCCTCACACGCTTCGTTTCCCCATAGGGACCTGCCCCTTCTTCGCCCCACCTGCCTTGCGGCACTAGCACCCGCATGTGATTGGGTCCTTCGCAGGAAAATTTTGACCCCCCCCCTCGTTCAGTCACCCCCCTCCCCTCCCATGTCAATTCAGCAGACCTTCTGCCACCACCCGTCAACTCGAAATTCGAATCCCGAGACGACCCCTGGACCCTTTTCCGCACACCTCTTTGATGCCTCGTCCACCCTGTCGTCTTTCGCCTGGTCTCCGTCTCGCCTTTCTTCCCCTCCTCTTCCTTCTGCTCCCTCCTCCTACGTCTTCCTCAGCCTCCTACGCATTCCTGCTCCTCCTCCTCCTTCTCCTCTTCCTCCTCTTCCTCCTCCTCCTCCTCCTCCTCCTCCTCCTCCTCTGCCTCCTGTCCCGCAGCAGTTGCTGGTGAGCTGGTGAGGCACCCACTGAAGTCATCATCAGACGTGCCTGTGCGGGGCCATGTCGGTGTCATTGGGTACGTAGCTCAGGGGCTGCCCTGACTTGCCAGGGTTTGGCACACTTCTCCATTTTCCCAGCGACCCGGGGTTTTCCCGGGCGAAGCGGTTCTGTCCTGGCGGGGCGCCCAAGATCTCCTTTGGTCCGTTGTCCATCGGAAGCTTCGCGCGTCGATTTCGAACCCTTCCAAAGTCGCACAACAACTCACAACTGATAATCGCAAAAAAGAGCCGGGACAACAACCAACGGTGGACCGTCTACATGTGTGCATACTCATATATGAAGCACACGAATATCCACTCCGCTCTAAGCACATAACTATATACTGTATTCCTCTGCGATCCTGTAGCATGTATGATGCTCCTATGCTGTCGTACTCCAGTAGCGTTTCTACATCATTCCTCTGGCACTCTATCGTACTATGATGCTTTTCGTGTGTAGCGTTACTTATAACAAGCTCGTGGCGATCCTAGACCCTTCCTCTAGCATCCCTGTGGCATCTGGAATCCTCAGGCACACCATGGAGTCCTGAGGAACAATGAGGAATCCCGAAGACTCGTAGGTGACGCGTGGAACCAACTTGTTCCACAAAGGCACTGAGCACGACTATGCCGCTAGAGTGCTCATCAAATTCATCGCCGTGTTCATTCTTCACGCATTCCCACACGTGTGATGGGCAACCGATTTGCATACAGCTAACTGGGGCCGCCGTGAAAAAAAACTCCAGGGCGCCCCAACCGCCGGAACGCGAGGAAATGAGCGGGGGGCGAAAGCTGCAGCGATGCTGCTGCGCAGTGAGCCCGGCGGCGCCGCAGCGAACATAGTAGCCCCATTGCCCCATCTGGCGGGCCCAGCTGGCGCCCACACATAGTGCCTGCCCGGGTCATCAGGGCCCCCTGGGGCATGCAAGACAAAGCGGACGGACGGACAAGCAAGGCAGACGACGGACAGACAGGCAGACACGGACAGGCGGACACAGGGCGGTCCGCACCCAAATCGGGCCAGGCGTGAGAAAAGGCACTTCCCCGCCGAACCCGCCGGCCCCCGCAGGGGGCCACCAGCCATGGACATGACTTCCCAGGGGCCAGGAGGCAAGGAGGCCAGAAGGCTAAGAGCGGATGGACACCCCTACTCCTCAAAGCTCACTGCCACCAAACCACTCGTGCTCCGTGATGGGGGGCGACCACAGCACGATAGCGGCGCGCGGCCCAACGCGAGGACCACCTGTAACCCTACTAGCAGTAAGACTAGCAAGACTACTACGAGTAGTACGACTATTGCTCGTACTACAACTAAGTACTACAAGTACTAGTACAATGACTACTACGACTACGACTACACCTGCGACTACGACTACGACTTCGACGATGACGACGACAACAACGACTACTACTACGACCAGCCACTCAACCAACCAACCAACCTAGCTACCTGCCTACCTACCTACCTTCCCACCGACCTACTAATCGCACTTCTGCGACCAAGAATGCTACTCTTACTGCTACTATTGGTGCGACGACGACAGCAGCGGCTACTACGAGTAAGCCTATTCGTACAAGTGTTTAGTTACTGTTAGTGGTGTCAGTAGGCCTACGATGTGTAATAGTACCGCAGCAACTACGAACCAGTCCTACGACTAGTAGCACTACTACACAAGATCCTCGCCAACACTCGACAGAGGAGTGAGGAGGAGGAGGAGGAGGAGGAGGCCAAAAGGAGGATTGAGGAGAGGGGGCCAGAGAAAATTATCCCGGCAAAGCAACCTAGCAGCCATGTGTAGGAGCCGGCCGGGGCAGCCGGCCGCCCTCCCCTCCTGCTCGTCCTCCTCCTCCTCCTCCTGCTCGTCCTCGTGCTCCTCCTGCTCGTCCTCTTTCTCCTGCTCCTGCTCCTGCTCCTCCTCCTCCTCCTCCTCCTCCTCCTCCTCCTCCTCCTCCTCCTCCTCCTCCTCATTTTTCTCCTGCTCCTCCTCCTCCTCCTCCTCCTCCTCCTCCTCCTCCTCTTCCTCCTGCTCGTCCTCGTTCTCGTCCTCCTCGTCTTGCTCGTCCTCCTCCTCCTGGTGCTCTCTCCTCCTCCTCCTCCTCCTCCTCCTCCTCCTCCTCCTCCTCCTCCTGGTGGTCCTCGTTCTCCTTCTCCTGGTGCTCTCCCCCCCCCTCCTCCTCGTCCTCCTCCTCCTCCTCCTCCTCGTCCTCCTCCTCCTCCTTTCCTCCTCCTCCTCCTCCTCCTCCTCCTCCTCCTCCTCCTGGTAGTCCTCCCCCTCCCCTCCTCCTCCTCCTCCTCTCCCTCCTCGGTCGCCCTCGTTCTCGTCCGCCTCGTCTTGCCTCGTCCTCTCTCCTGGTGTTCTCTCCTCCTCCTCCTCTCTCCTCCTCCTCCTCCTCCTCCTCCTCCTCCTCCTCCTCCTCCTGTGGTCCTCGTTCTCCCTCTCTCTCCTCCTCCCCCTCCTCCACTCCTCCTCCTCGTCCTCCTCCTCCTCCTCCTCCTCGTCCTCCTCCTCCTCTTCCTCCTCCTCTTCCTCCTCCTCCTCCTCCTCCTCCTGGTAGTCCTCCCCCTCCCCTCCTCCTCCTCCTCCTCCTCCTCCTCCTGGTCGTCCTCCTCCTCCTGGTCGTCCTCCTCCTCCTGCTCGTCCTCCTCCTCCTCCTGCTCGTCCTTCTTCTCCTGCTCCTCCTGCTCCTCGTCCTGCTCCTGCTCGTCCTCGTCCTCCTGGTCTTGCTCGTCCTCCTCCTCGTCGTGCTCTTGCCCCTGCTGAAAGTGTGGCCCAGGAATGGGAGTTCTGGGAAGTCGAAGAGCACGAAGTTGCCTACAGTTGGCTACGGGCATTCAAAATGTGGCCCGGGAATGGAGTTCTGGGAACTCGAAGAGCACGAAGTGGCCTACAGTTGGCTCCGGGCATTCAAAATGTGGCCCGGGAATGGAGTTCTGGGAACTCGAAGAGCACGAAGTGGCCTACAGTTGGCTCCGGGCATTCAAAATGTGGCCCGGGAATGGAGTTCTGGGAACTCGAAGACCACGAAGTGGCCTACAGTTGGCTCCGGGCATTCAAAATGTGGCCCGGGAATGGAGTTCTGGGAACTCGAAGAGCACGAAGTGGCCTACAGTTGGCTCCGGGCATCCAAAATGTGGCCCGGGAATGGAGTTCTGGGAAGTCGAAGAGCACGAAGTGGCCTACAGTTGGCTCCGGGCATTCAAAATGTGGCCCGGGAATGGAGTTCTGGGAAGTCGAAGAGCACGAAGTGTGTGACTGTTGGCTTAAAATGAGTTCTGCGGCACCCTGTCCGGCACCCGCCCAGACCCCCCTGTGGAGTCATCTGCTGCTCTCTTTTGAGACCACTAGAAACCTATCAATCTTCGCTGTTAGGTAATATTCAGGAGGCGCCAGAGGGAAGAGGAGGACGACGACGATGAGGGGCCAGGAAGAGGAAGAGGAAGCGGGAAACGGATGCCCTCAGGAAGCGGCGAGACACGGGTGCTCTCAAGAAGCCCTCAAGGATCCCCCAGGAATCAATGTCCCAGGAACCCCGAGAATCTTTCGGGAATCATCAGAAATCTCTCATGCATTCTCAAGGATCCTTGAGGAATCCTTCAGGAATCCATGATAATCCTTGAGGAAGCCCGAAGAATCCCTCAGGACCCCCCCAGGAATAATCCAGGAATCCTCCGGGAATCTCGCAGGAATCTCCAGGAACCTCGCAGGAATCCCCCTTGGCGCCTCGAAGGCGCCTCTAAGGAGCCTCGATAGCCTCCAAGGAGCCGCCTCTGAGAAGCCTCTAAGCTTTAAGCAACCTCTGCAAAGCCTCTGCGGAGCCTCCACAGAGCCTCTGAGGCAGTGGGCTTTGAGACATGCTGTAGTTTACGAAAGGCTTTGAACCAGTTCGTTCATCGAGAGAGCATCCAACATACTGCGAAAGGACTTGGTTTAGGGGGCCACATGCGAACCCTACCTCTACCTCACACGATTTCTGAGGGTGAGGGTGAGGTTCACTTCGTTCTGGAGCTCCCGAGCGAAGTGAACCCCACCCTCCCCCTCAGAAATCGTGGGGGGTAGGGGTAGGGTTCGCATGTGGCCCCCTTTGGTTTACTGGGACAAAACCTGTGTTCGGCTTGGCCCTGGGGACATCACCTATGCGAGGGTGTCGAGTCTGTGGGCAACGAAGACGGGCGCCGTGCCCCGCACGGTGATCGACGGGGGGCCACGGTCCCCGACCTGGCGTGCAGGCGGGAGACGCATGGCAGTGCGAGATAAGAGCGCGTCGTTGTCTGAGGGTGCAGCAAGAGGATCGCGGCCTCCGAGGGGGGGGCTGCCAACGACTGCCCCCCCTCCCGCCCCAAGTGGCCCCCAAGAGCCCCCCAAGAGGCCCCAGGGGGGCCCAATTCGCCGCCAAGGAGCCCCAAGACGCTCCCAGGAAGCCCCCAAGCAGCCCCCAAGACGGCCCCAAGAGGCCCCAAATAGCGCTCCAGGGCCGGCGGAATGAGCGAAGCGATTAAATAAGAGCGCGTCGTTATCTGAGGGTGCAGTGAGTGGATTGCGGTGCTGTGGAAACATTGCTGCCTGGCCAGCCGAGGGCCACCGAAGGCGCTCGCGCTGCGAGCGGTGGGATGAGAGCGACGCATGCTGGCATTCCTCACCTGGGCTATACGTCTTGCCAGCCTGGATCAGCACGGGGGGGAGGCCGACGAGGCGGGAGGGAGGGAGGGAGGCAGGGAGGCAGGGAGGCAGGGAGGGAGGAGGAGGAGGGAGGGAGGGAGGCCGACGAGGAGGGAGGGAGGGAGGGAGGAAGAGGAGGGAGGGAGGGAGGGAGGAAGGGAGGGAGGGAGGGAGGAGACAGGAGGGGAGGGAGGGAGGGAGGTTCCCTCCTGGGACCGCAGACAGCGCTGGGGGCCGCCAGCCCCGCGCGGCGCTGGGCTCGGCGGCCTCCGCGGCGCCCCGCGCGGCGCGTCCGCCGCCGCGCCCGCGGCCCCCCGCACGGCCTCGGCCGCCCCGAGGGGAGGCGCGCCGCCCGCGCGGGAGTTGGCCGAGTCCCGGCCGGGGGCGCCCCCCGCCCGCGGGCCGCCGGACGCCCCTGGTGCCCCTCCTGACGGCGGCGGCCCACGACCGAGACCTACGATGGGCTGGAGGTGGTCCACGGCCTCCCTTGTATGCCGCTCTATAGGCCCTGGCTTGCGCACCCCCTCTTCCCTGGGGACGGCCACCGCTGAGCGGTGCACCGTTCCTGTGGTTGGGGGGTTGCGCCAGCTCCCGATCAAAGTGCGCCGGCGGACGTGTCCGCAGCGGGAGGGAGGGAGGGAGAGAGGGGAGGGAGGGAGGCAGGGAGGGAGGCAGGGAGGCAGGGAGAGAGGGGCAAGACGCTCGCGGGTGCTATCGGATGGACCATTCCGGACGCCCCAGGGGTCCCGTTCGCGGGTGCCGGTCCCTTCTGGGAGCCCCTGGGGCC